TCTCTGTACTGTACACTGAAGGAGTAAGAACAGAGATGGGAGAAAAGTGAGAGCAATACACCATTTAGAATAAAATTAGCCTCATGTGACATAAATACTGACCAATCAATAGACTGTTAAAAGAAAATAATATCTGTCCAAATAAAAAAAGAGGTTAACAAAGTCTGCTTATGAAAACCACAGACTAATCATTTATTCACAAACAAGTGATAAGTTATACCACTCCTGCCTGTGATTTCCGACCATTTCATTAATTAGATAACCTTAAGAATTTTCTTGTATTTAACTTGTGGTTTTAATACTCAAAACATAGACTTTGTGTATCTGTATTCAAATTCCCTAATTGCTAATTTTTCTTAGGGGAAAAAAAGTGTGCACTGAGTGATTAATACGCACTTTTATAGCTTGTCTGTGTTCACTGAAGCTCTCTGGTGTAGGCACCTGCACTTCCCTCTTCCCAGCAGTTCCCACTGCAACCTTGACTTACATAAGCAGCTAAAGATGCAATAGGGAAGCAGTATTTTCACATACTCTACAGATACCACCCACAGTGTCATTTACATTTTATAAAACATTCTAATTCTTATTTTAAATTACAAAATGGAATTTCTAAAAGTAAAATAAAAATAAAATTTCTCTTTAAACTAACAAGTTTACTTCTTAAAAGACCCGCAAAAGGAAACACTGAATGGCCTGACTCAATGGTCTAGTTTTTAACACTACTAATGAAGCTACAAAGCTGCAAGGTAGCAGTGACAATATTTGATGTACTAACATGCTCATCCAACACTGATTCTGTTTTTCTAAGGAGAGAGTTGCCATGCAAACGTCTAGATGCAATACAGCAAAATCAGCTGTGCTTTAGCACTACAAATCACAACTAGATGGATTTATGGTACTGCAATACTATCATCTATGCAAAGTTTTATCTAAATAAAGGGTTTTATTGTCCATTGTACTTTCTGGCAACATTTCTATTTTTTCTGCAAATCAAGTGCAAACTGAAACAAATCAGAACAACAGTGCTTTAAGCACATTTAAAATAGGTTAAAAATGATGACAAAGTCTAAGACATAGAAAAATCAAGTTCCAAAGCAGGTATTATTATCTTTCACTAGTTTCTTCTATCATGATGACTGGGAGAAAAAAATGAGGACTTTTGCATCAAGATATATTGCAGTAATTAGGTAGAATTTTACCAGACAACGTAACATGTTAAATAAAATAATTCTAATAACATACTAGCCTGCTAAATGACAACAGGAACCCCTGAACATTTATATTGCTTTCTTCCGCTCATCAATAGAATTAGTTAGTACCCTCATATCTAATTATTGCTTTTCACAATCAATATCTACTTTATTAGATAGCATGGAAATGAAGAACAGATCAGGGTTCAAAGATTTCAAAAAACCTGTATGATCTCAAAAAATTTATTTAGAAATGGTTGAGTTAAAATCAGACATGTAGTATTACCCTCATTACTGTAATATTAATATTCATTCAGTATATCTTGTATTACAACTGAAAAATTTACAGAAGTATTTTTTGGATTAATTATTTCTTCATCAGTCAAGTTTGACAGTCGCAATGAAGAAAAATACAGTGTATCTATGGAAATCTATAGAAATAGAGGCTATGTTTCCTGCTGTTTTCTGACTGAGCAAACATAGTGAAATTTAATCTAAACTTGTCTGATATGAAGGAGAAATACACATCACATTTTCTTAAGTGGGGTTTAAGCCTACCTATTGAGTGAGAGGAACAAGATCAACTCTTAGTCCTAATTCCAAGTTGTTTGGTTTAACAGAAATCTCTCCACTGGCTCAATCACGTCTCTCCGTATTTACTAACCTTCCAGCATTTCAGTGCTGTACCAGCCACATCTGTGTCACCAGATCAATGTCACTGGATCAACAGCAAAACCTGTAGATCTTCCACTGGTTTATTGTGTTCATACTAGTCAATAGCATAGCTCTCAGAATTACAAAATCATGGAAATTAGGATTGGAGTGCAGCCCTCTAATTCAGCTTTTCTTTCTCCTCCTCAGTTCAAGTAAGGGTCAATTAAATCTGTTAATCTTGGTAAATACTTGCCTAGTCTGTGACTCAGGTACCACAATATGAAGGTAATATAATATTACCCCACTGGCACTCTGGTAAAAATTACTTTTGAAGAGCTGGATTCAAGCAGAGTAAAGATTCTTTGATTTACCTCATCTGAGTATCCTACCTATGTTACTTTCACCTTAAATTCACTGGTTGGGTACTATTCAGGGCTTGATTCATAGTATTTTAGCCACAAAGCTGACACACAGAAAAAACCTGAAAATTCACTGATTAAATAGCTTCAGTTTTTCCTCTGTTAGGCATCAGTACAGAACGTGTCTTCTCACTGCTGACATTATAATGTACCAGAAGACTAGTCTTCCCTAAACCAAAGGTGTGGGCTTGCTCTGAATTAAAGTGCTGCCAAAAAGCAGAGGTGAACATTAGAGAGTGCATAAATTACATAATGTTCATATAGTTGGTATTCTAATACACTTCTTTGTTTTCCTCTCTCACTGATCTGGCTTAGACTAGCAGTGACTGAAAGTTATTGGTATCTGGTGGCTAATAGATGATCTCTGTCATGTTCCCATTGGGAAAGTGTCTGTATGCCAAAAGCACTATTCAAAATTATACCTTGTTCTTTTACATGTAATTATTCTGCCATAAGCAGCACAACAGCTGTCAGCTTTATTAACACGCAGGCTCAAGGCAGTTAGGGAAATGTACCTCCCATCTGGAGAACAGAACACTTCAACCTTAACAAGGCTGCTAGAGGGACACCCCTGGAAACTGAAAGGCTTTGTGTCTCAGACCCCTTAAAAATCTGCTTTACTGCCTTCTTTCTCAAGAATGAGTTTAAACACTCCTTCATTAGGTCTCTGTATTACAGATCAAGTTTCCAGACATTTTAACCTGTATTTCACACCTATAAGAAACTTCTTCCCATAAGTCTGCAGCAAATGACTGTTTAAAGTGTACCAAAATGAAACATATATGTATTGGGTTTGCATGGCAAGGTTTAGGTAGCAGGGGGGTTACAGGGGTGGCTGCTGTGAGAAGCTGCTAGAAGCTTCCCCCATGTCCGACAGAGCCAATGCCACCCAGCTCCGAGAGGGACCCGCCGCTGGCCAAGGCCGAGCCCAACAACAACAGTGGTAGCACCTCTGGGATAACAGGTTTAAGAAGGGGGGGGGGGGGGGAAATCCCTGCATAACAGCAACTGCAGCTGGAGAGAGAAATGAGAATACGTGAGAGCAACAAGCCTGCAGACCCCCAGGTCAGTGAAGAAGGAGGGGGAGGAGATGCTCCAGGCACCAGAGCAGAGATTCCTCTGCAGCCCGTGGGGAAGACCATGGTGAGGCAGGCTGTCCCCCTGCAGCCCAGGGAGGTCCATGGTGGAGCAGATCTTCACCTGCAGCCCATGGAGGACCCCACGCTGGAGCAGGGGGATGCCCAAAGGAGGCTGTGACCCCATGGGAAGCCCATGTTGGAGCAGGCTCCTGGCAGGACCTGTGGGGAGAGGAGCGCACGCTGGAGCAGGTTTGCTGGCAGGACTAGTGACCCTGTGGGGGACCCACGCTGGAGCAGTCTGTGCCTGAAGGACTGCAGCCCGTGGAAGGGACCCACGCTGGAGCAGTTTGTGAAGAACCACAGGCTGTGGGAAGGACTCACGTTGGAGAAGTTCATGGAGGACTGTCCCCATGGGAGGGACCGCACGCTGGAGCAGGGAAGAGTGAGGAGTCCTCCCCCTGAGGAGGATTGAGCAGCAGAGAGAACGTGTGACGAACTGACCCCAACCCCCATTCCCCATCCCCTGTGCTGCTGGGGGCAAGGAGGTAGAGAATTCAGGAATGAAGCTGTGCCCAGGAAGAAGGGAGGGGTGGGGAGAAGGTGTTTTAAGATTTGGTTTTATTTCTCATTACCCTACTCTGATTTGATTGGTAAAAAATGAAACTATTTCCCCAAGTCAAGTCTGTTTTGCCTGTGACAGTAATTGCTGAGTGATCTCTCCCTGTCCTTATCTTGACCCACGATCCTTTTGTTGTATTTTCTCTCACCTGTCCAGTGGAGGAGGAGAGCGATAGAGCAGCTTTGGTGGGCACCTGGCATCCAGCCAGGGTCAGCCCACCAGAGTCCTTTTTTGGTGGCCCATATGGGGAAACCTATTTGTGTATTAATCCAAGGGTTGAATCTTTACATGCCTGGCTTTATTGAACGTTATTCTTTTCTTGCAAGTTGTATGACTCTGCTTTGCTCCCTGTCAGGGCAACAAAGTCCTACTGACCTCCTGCCTTCTATTCCTGAGCATCTCCTGATCAGCAGCTGCTTGGCTACTCACTCCCACCCTTCCTCTACAGAGGACTTTGCATAGCTAATTATTATCCTTTTCATCTCTAAGCTCTTAACTCTGAGAACTTTTTAACTTCTGGTGATTGCCAAAAGCATCACCTCACTAGTCCAGCCATTGTTCCCTTGAAGTTGTTTACCAGGATCTCTCATCTCTGACCATTGTTTAGTTTCCTGTTTGCTCTTCCTAACAGCTCCTTTGAATTCAACCCCCTTTACTCATAAAGAATAATGTGAAACAGATAAAGTAGAATACAATTACACCAAAAAAAAAAAAGAAAAAAGAGTAATCTTTTTAGTCTCCATAAATATTCATCAGGACTAAATTCACATATGTAAATTATGTTGTGTTTAGAGAAGTAACAAGTAGAATGTGAGATGCAGAAGGGAAGTTATGTACACGAATCTTTAATTTCATGGTGCTTTAGAGGTAACAACTGTGCAAGCTGACAAGCTGCTTAACGAACAGGACACCCACATAGGTGCAACGATACAAGCCTGATTAGGCCTTTTTCCCAGAGTGAAAGACCTACAACCCCCTGTCATAGACCGTGATTAACTAAAAGGATTAGATCAAATTTTGCAAAAGCCATCATACTTACACTGTCATTGCTTCCTTTGTTGTCCTCGTATTTTGTCTCTATATGAATGGAGAATTTAGGCAAAAATGAACACTGCAACAAAAGAAAAATGTTTGACATAAAAATCATGCCTTGCTTCATCAGCTGACATTCAGTACATCCTGTTTTTATCAGCTTTCTTATTTTTCTTCAGATTACTTCAAGGAAAAAGAGTAAATGTACACAGAACATAATAGCAAAGGTTTTTATGATTCTGAAGGAATGTTGAGATTCTAGCTAAAAGTTGAATATTATAATGAAGATATAAATAAATTACTGTAAGTACTCTGGAATAGCTAGATACAATAGTTTTCATGCTTGCTATTTGTAAGAGTACAAATGTCCTGAATGTCTTACTATAAATTCACTTCACTAAGATCTCGAGAGCAACCAGATATTCCTCATCATAGATTAGTCTATCCCCCATATAAAATAAGTCAAGGACACTTCACTAGCTGCAGGTGCTAACCAAATGGACAACAATGCTTTGATGCGTGAGGGTTTTTTCTAATTTTCAGTAAGAAATTAATTTTAGCATAATTTCCTATTAATGAAATTAAGATGGATTATGAGCTGCTGTGGAAATTCTTTTATACTAAACCCAAATCAATCTTTAGATAATAATGCAATAAAATTAAGAATGCACAAATATTTTTCTATTTAAGATAATATTTCTGTATTTTACATGGGAATAAATTTATTTTTCTGTCTATTGCTTAATTTAGTTTGTTTATCAAGACTAGAATTTATAATACCAGGCAACATAATTCCAGTTGAAAAAATATTTCAAATATCTTTCTTTAGCATTTTACAGTTCTTCTTTCAAACCAGCTTTTCAGTTAGGCAGATAGAGTAGCTAACAAACTCTGAAGGATACTAGATCAGCATCTTTACTACTAGTCATCAAGTCTTTTCTTGCATTAACTGCCAGTGAAACTGAAGTGCCAGTTCCTTGTATGATGCATCACTAATACCCTATGGCAAAGTGTCTTTGTAAAGACTATGACTAATGTGCTGTACATACAGATTATACAATGAGGACATTATGATGCCTCAGTGTTCACATTGCTGTTGGTCCAAGTTTGGACTTGATCAAATTCAGAGTTCTTCTAAGGGAGGGGCTGATGACTAAGAAAAGAGGTGATTTAGAGGGCCAACTGTAGTGCAACAAAATTGAAACGTGAAGCCAGCTCCTTTGACACTGAAGAAAATATATTCCTGATTCCTTGGATATCACCCAACAAGTCATTGTTCAATCGTCTTCTGATCATAGGATATCAAGTATTCAACAAGCACATCTAGAATCAATCCTTGTTGAAAAAATGAGTGAGAAAGTTTTGCCAAAATGAGATTCTGGTGCCATGGAAGGCTTCTGGTCAAACTGTCTCACCGTTAACATAATGAAATACTCCCATGTTACACGTTGCTCCTGCAGATGCCCAGACCACACAGGCTTCTCTTCAGATCTTACAAATGTTTTACTTTTTATTAAAGATTTCTGTGGAGTAGCACATTTACGAGTTTCAGTCCAACCTAAACTGTGACTAGCTCTCAGCTATGCAACTTGTTCATTGAGTGAATATGTGGGAGGAAAAAAAATTAAAAAAAAAAAATTAGCAATATGTGGAGTGCAGGATGGAGCAAGTTCAATGACAGGTCTACTAGCTCCTATTACCTATATTTCGTGGGCAATTAAACATTTCCTATGTATACATCTCAGGAAGTGCCAGCTGAAAACATGGGATATTTATAAGCAGTCTGTCAGAACTGGGGATCTTGTAACACAGATTAACACCAAAAAAATCCAGATATTCTCTCAATTGAGGTTTCACTGTGTATCTCAGTATGTTCCCCCTATTCTGACAGACACCCAAAGGCATCTGCATGCAAAAGCCTTGGCAAACAGTAGGCACTACAGGGAGAGAACTTGGGAAGGGAAAAAAAAAAGCCAAGGTTTGCCATAAGGTTCTAATTTTTACCTCAAAAATTAACCAAAAGTTGGAATGAACATTCTTGAACTACCTTTATGTTATCTGGAAGAAGAAATTAATAAAAGGGCTTGATTAAAAGAATTCTTCAATCAAATATTCCTGGAGTAAGGAAAGTTGTAAATGTGATGTTACCAAAAAAATAGGGAATGACCCAGGAGACACAGGGATAGCACCATGTCCTAAAACAACGTTTGATGTCACTCAGAGGATTCATATTCAAATGGCATAAACCAACACTCTAGTTGTTTTTCGTGTTTGCAGGAGAACATGGAGGGTTGAAAAGTAAATTACCACTGGAGGTGGATTATGAAAAGCAGATTTAAAAAAAAAAGTGTATAACCTAATGACAGACATCTACTGCACAGTTTTTCGAGCATTTGGAAAATAACTACATAGGTGCTAGGGTGCTAAAAACATGGGTTATTGATATCAGAAATTTAGTGCATAGCAGCCTTGTATTTTACAAAAATGTCTATCTACAGGGGTCACGGTCCAGGTGTACAGAGCTCTTGCTGACAACAACCTAGACCTCTGCATATGGGCATCCTGTGGGAGGGCATCCTTGAGGAAACGAGAGGAGACTTTCATTTAATATTTTATCAGTAGTTACTAGTACTGCTTACTGAATTGCAGTAACTGGTACTGCACTACTGAGGACTCAATGCTTAGGTCTGAGCAACAGCTTTTAGAAACATTTTCACTGAAAATAGTAGAGATGTATGCCATATCACCTACGATATACTAATTGTTTAGAACAGTTGTTAGGAAAACACAGTTTACTAGCATCATGTCTGCATATTTCAGGGTTGCTGCTCTAGGCAATGATTTACTTACATGTTAGTGTGTGTTAAGTATCTGCCCTCTTGATCTGAAGACCAAAATTTAATTTGCTTTGCTACACAATTACACAAAATCAACACTCCTTAAATAACATCTAGTAATTGATAAAAACAGAAAACAGAATGACATCAATGATCTATCACTAGTGGAAGGGTCATCAAAGCTATAATGCTTGAGCAGACCAAGTATCTAGGTCCGAGCTTTGTGAGTTTGCAAACTTTTAAGTTATACAGTCTGAGTCTAGTGGTTTGTCGGAAACCTCAGTGGCTATGGAAACTGCTCTGACTGTGCTGACAGCTCTGGGCAGTGCAGTTCTCTCAGCTCTTTTAAGTAGTAGCAAGGTCCACCACAAGACTTGGTGCTGCTCTCATGGTCCCATTGTCAGGTTTGAAAACTCCATTGACAGAAGGAACTTCAGTATAGCATCTTCCACATTTACAGCTAACACCCTTACCAAAGCAGTCCTCATCCCTGGTTCCGATTAAAGTATCTTTACTTATGATCTAACTATAGAAATTCAGGAGTTGTTGGATGGAGTACATTTTTCAATACTCAAAACCATTTTTCTTTATCAAAATAGTTGCCTTTACGTCACAGTTTCAGGTACAGTGGAGGACAAAAATGCAAAATACAAAAAACTTTTGTGCTGTTGATTTGAAGCATGGCTACAGTTTCAGAGGAAATTTTGAATAAAGCCAAATGCCAGATTTCCTTTTTACCTTGCTATTAAAAAAATACCCACCATTTTCAATCATTGCGTAGAGTTTACCAGCAATGAGTCAGATCATGATACTTTGAAAATGCAGCTGTTTCATATACTGAACTTAAGGCTACATTAGGCTGCCTGTAGCACTTCAGCAAGCCACTGCTTGAATCTAGTTGTTTCCTGTGACCCAGAATCTAAACTCTAATTAAAAAAAAAAAGAGATCTTCTAATCTTGTATTGCAAAAAGGAAACATTATGAAAAGACTAAGGATCTTCAAAGTATTATAAAAGAAGAATTGTGAGTGCCATTTACCTCGAGCCACCTCATTAGAGAGCAGAAAGTCTTATTTTGCACAAAGCTATCAAAAGTCAGCCTCCCTGTGTATTTAGTATAAAGGCAAGGACTATAACAATTTAATTGGAGATTATAAATGGTGACATGAATTTACCCCAAATGAAAACTAAAATTCACCAAAAAATACTCCATTGCAAATACATCTCTTGGAAACTCAGCTGACGGACAACCACTGTTTTAGCAGCTATGGGGGGTCTCACTGGCTTCCAGAAACACTTAGCAGGGTCCAAATTTCTGAACATTTCACAGAATGTGTCTCATGATTCATCAGCTGCACTCTGACTAATTGGCAGAGGGCTCTGGCAGAACCAGAAAACTGTTTATGCATCATTCAAAAGACTATTATTCATCATGCAAGAAGTTGTTGGGTTTTTCTCCCCTCCTTAAGTGGCTGCTTATTTACTTAGCTGGGGATTAAAAGTGTTATGCAACAGTCAGAATCAAACTTGGGAGTGAATGGTAGGTAATAAACCGTTTAGTAATTTTTTTTTTTTTTTTTTTTTCCCCTCCAAAGCACCACTCCCTTTCTGCTCTGCCTCCCCTGGGGGTGTGTGTTCTTCCAGCACAAACCTGGCAGCCGATCGATACACTGAGCACACGCAGGAATGTACAGGGCAGTTTTCAGTTTTCCATCTCACTATCTCTACAGTTTGCAAGGTTCCTCTTTGAAAAAAAATAGTGGCCAATTGAATCTTTAACTTGAAATTACACTTAAATTCTACATAATAGGACAAAATCTTCAGAGTCCTACTGTCTTCAATTATAAGGTTTCTTTGTGTAAAGCTCTCAAAGGAGGTGTCTTTTCTATTGTCACCTCCAGATTTTTTAGATGTGTTATAAACTCCTTAAAAATTTGTTATAATCCAGTACACCTGTGACACTTAAAAACAAATAAGGAGAATATTCTGGATTTTTTGTTTGTATGTTTTCTTAAAACTCTCTATATTTGGCACTCCTTTTGGAAGAACCAGGAGAGGTATAAGGCTCAAGACAGTAACCAGTGAAATAGCTAGAGTCTGTAATAGTAATCACCACACATAAGCATGGGTATTTCCAGATTAAAATAAAGTGAAATGAAAGCAGCATACGGAAAACACAGACCGCAGTTGCATTTTCAATTCACTACAGATAACCTCTTGAAAAACGAAGGGCCTATTTTTAG